GTCTCAAGGACCTCAAGCCAGTCTCTTCAAGAGGGCTGGGAGTGCCCAGGGCTGGGGAGGCCACGCCTGGGGAGCAAGACCCCAGAGCGGCTGCCCCTGGCCCAGAGCTTTCTGGCTAGGGCCCACCTCATCTGATGCTAGGCAGACGAGTCCTGTGGGGCCTCTTCTCGACGTGAGCAGAGGGTAAGGCAACAGGCGCCCTGGCTGGGTCTGAGGAATCTCCGCCTGGGCGGCGGCCGTACAGCGGCCAGTGTGGCTACCCCGCCAAGCAGGGACAAGCTCTTTCCCCTTCGAGGCTGCAAGTGGGCAGAGGTGGGAAAAGGCCCTTTTCTGCCCTTCCAACTTCTCTTCTTGGCTGGGATGGAGAAGGCCCTCCTCCTCCCTCCCTTCTTCCTTCCTTCCTTCCTTCCTTCCCCCTTCCTCTCCCTTCCTCATCTTACCCTCTCCCCCGATACAGACTTAGCTACCGCTGTCCTTTGTGCTCCCAAGAACCCAGTGCACACCTTACCACAGCTGTCACCTGGCCTGACAATCGCTGCTTATCGTCTGTCTCCCACAGCCTCTCTGAGCCCATTCCCTGGCCTGGCCCGTGCCTGGCGGGGTAAAGCCCCCTCCCAAGTGCCTCGGGAGAACCCAGTGCCCCTGCATGCTTCCTTCCACCCGTGTGGGGACTGCCTGCTCCATGCCCGGCCCTGGGCTGTGCTGGGAGAGATGTGCGGGATCTAGGGGGCTCCCCTGCCTTCAAGCCGCCTCCGCTGTCCACAAGGAGATCAAGACAGTGTAGAATCCAGCAGGATTATACAGAAACCTCAAAAATACTATTAAGACTTTCAGAGGGAAGAAATGAGTGAGGACTGAAGTTGTCAGAGAAGTCACCAAGGAAAAGACGGGATCCTGAATGAGGCCTGGAGTTGGATGGCAGCAAGGCCATTCCAGGCAGGGGAGGGAGGGGCACAGTGAGGGCAGGGGACATGGAGGAGACAGCCTGGCCAGAGCAGGGGCTCGGTGCTGGGGAGAGGAGGGGAGGACGTGAGGCCGATTCCTGCTCAGCCCTGCTCCTCGAGCACCTGCTGTGTGCGCACGCCGACTGAGACACCTCACAGGCGTGCTCTCGCTCCTCATGCGGCCTTCGGGGGAGGGCAGGCCAGCCCTGGCTCTGTTTTACAGGACACCGGCAGGGCGGCAGGGCGTGCGGAGGCTCTGAGGTTCAGCAGATGTTCGAGGTCAGAAGACAGAAGGGCGGAGTCTGAAGCAAGGCCTCCAGTCCTGCAGTGGAGGCGCTCTGGGGACGGTGGCTGTGGGGCGGGCAGGAGCTGGGTGCTCATTCGTTCACTCAGCAAGCAGTTCCTGAACCTGAACGCCTCAAGCTGGGTGCTGGGGCTATACCCACGAGCAAGGCGGCAGAGCGCCTGCCTTCCCGGAGCACGGAGACAGACTCTCAATTTTCAAAAAATCATATAAATATTTATATGTATGTAATTAAAATATGTATTTTATTTTAAACATAGACCTCATTTTTAATACATATATATGGATTTTGAACAAAAAGTGCAGGGCACTATGATAGTAAGTAACAGAGTACTGGGGGGGTGAAGGCGGGGGGTCCAGATTTCTTTGTAGAAGGTTCTTAAGGCCCTTCGCTGGGAGCTTCTGTCAAAGCTTGTTGCACTTTGCTCTGGTATGTAGCAGGGTGCCGGTAAAGGGTTGGCAGCTGGCTGGAGATGGGAAGCCCTGACTCGTGACAGTGCCGCTTTCCTCAGTGTGAACATGTCCACCACGCCCAGCTTCATGCCACCCACTGAAGGCCCTCGGAGCAGAGCTGGGAAGACACGTGCACAGCTGGCTCCCAGGGGCTCCTGAGAGTGGCTCCCATGTGCTGCTAAATTACACTTACTGGGAATGGAGGCTTCGAAAGGCTTGATGGAGATGATGGGGCTCTGAAGTACCCCCGTCACCCCTCAGTGCTGCCCCTGGGCTATCCTACTCTGGACAGATGGGAGAGGGTGCTCCTGGCCTCCAACTGGGCTATGTTTGGCGACTGTGCCGTGGGTCACCTGCTGACCCCTAGAGATGAGCACAGAGTCCAACCTTGCTACCCTCCCACCCCCTGTATGATCACATGTCACCTAGTGATGGGAACACGTTCTGAGAAATGCGTTGTTAGGCGATTTCATCGTTGTTCAAGCATCACGGAGTGCACTCACACAGACCTAGATGGTATTGCCTACTACACACCTAGGCTGCGTGGTGCTAATCTATGGGACCACCGTGATATGTGCCGTCTGTCGTTGACCAAAATGTTGTTACACGGCGCGGAACTGTACTCCCAGCCAGGGTGTCAGATCAGGTGAGGCTCCTTCCAGGTCTCTGTGCTTACATACTACTCAGGGTCCCCAGCCCATCGTCAAGGCACCCTCTGCAGCAGGTGACCAGGATGAGTGGCATGTCCCCTGCAGACCTGAAAGCTGCAGCTTCCGTGTCCACCAGCAGGCCCAGCCTGCACACACGCACTCGGACACACATCGGCGGGAGCATAAATATTTATGACATGTAGCTCATGCAGTTGGCTTATAGGATTCCCAGTGCTTCAGACGGGAGCTTTTTGCACAAGAAGGCTTTTATCTGGGGAGAGGTCCTGGACAGGGCGGGGGATGTGGGCAGCAGAGAGCAGCATCTTGGCCTCTGAGTGTCCTGGAGGCCTGCCCTTCGCTGCAGCAGCCCGAGTGTCTGAATCGGAAGGGAAGGCCAGCTGGCAGCAGCCACCTTTGAGGCTTTTACTCAAGAAGCCCCTCCCTGGCTCTGCGGGCCGGGCCTCAAGATGAAGGGATCCATAATCAGAGGGGTCTACGGTGCTCCCAACCCGATGCCTGAGCCTGAGCCCTTCTACAGGGTAGGGCAGAGGCTTCTCACTCCCACCGCCACTGGCTTCTAGATTTCCTCCAGCGCTGAGCCCAGGGAGGAAGTCCTGGATGACTGCCTCAAACCTCCCAAAGATCCCGGGATGAAGTCACCCCAGCACCTCCCCAGCACACAGGCCACACATCAGGAAATGCGGATATTTCAGATGCCAAATGGGATAATCAAGAGCTTGTACAGGTCCTGCATGGCCGTACCAGCCAATACCCTCAGCGTGACCATACTTCTGAGCATCGTGGGACAGAAGATATAGCATCCTCTGGACTGAGTGGGGTGGTGAGGAGTGGTGAGCAAAGGAGTGAGAGAGAGGGGTGGGAGAGGAACCAGCTTGTGCCTGGGCCTCCAGCCTGGAGCGCACCTGGCCTGGGGAGCACCCACAGGGGCAGAGCCTGAACTGGAGAGGACCGGGTTCCCTGGAAGGGAGTAGGATGACTTCTGGCGGGACTCTTGATAAGGCAAGATCTAATCACTCAGAGCCCCACGTCCATCCCCTTCCAACCCTACACCCTAAGCTACTGCCTCTCTCAGCAGGGTCTTAGACCCTGCACACTATTTACCAGTATCTAACATCATCCTTTTGTCCCTTTGGCAGCACCAGTTTCCTTTCTCCCACTTGGACAGCATCTCTGCTGAGGAGGAAAGAAAGAAGGGTGATGAAGAGTATCAAGGTTAAAAGAGACGACTAGCTGTAAAACCAGCCCGGCGCCCCAGACGCTCATTTATCACTAAGGCTGAGCCATTCTCCTCCAGGAAAATGTCCCTCGTTCCACACACCCGCAAGCCCAGGGTGACCTCCTCCTCTGCGTTCTCCTAAGACCCCAGGCGTCTCCCTATCACTGTGCTAACAACATTCTATTGATTTTGCTCCTGTGGCTGTTTCCCCAAAGACTGTTAGCTCCTTGAGAGCAGAATCTGCATTGTTTATCTGTCTCTGAATTCGGAGTGCCCGCCACAGTGTCCAACACGTAATAGGCACTTCATAAATATTTGATGAAAGTTCCCCTAAGCTTGTGAAGTTCACAAAAGTAAATGTAAGCCTTGCTACACATGTATTAATGGTTGAGGTGGGTGCAGTAAGAGAGGAAAGAGATGTGCACGCTTTTGTGCCTGTTTCCAGAGGGCCGGGACGGGAGCCCAGGACCAGCAACTGCCTCGAAGGGAGAAGGGGCAGCGTTCTGAGCTCCTGGGATGACGCTGGCTGCAGGCTGCCCGCTCTGCTGGTCTGCAACGCCACCGCAGGAAGGGCCACAGTCCCTGCAGCATAGAAGGTGACCGTGCCTCCAGTCACCAAGGACCAAGTGCCAGTATAAGTTGGGTGGCCAGTAAAGACAGCAGGGGCGTTATTCTCTGTTGAGTGGCCACCCAGCAGCTGAGAACTCAAGAGTTCTTTCTGGAGCACCCACTCTGCTCTTAGCATGAAGGGGGATGCCCAGCCCCCATCCCATGGGACTTCTCAGTGCCGTGAGGAGCAGCTCAGCCAGAGTGTAACATCTGCACTGTGTAGTGACCGTGAGTGTCCTGGGAGGTCACGGGAGAGAGGAGTGACTCCTTGCCAAGGACACATGACGCTCCGGGTGACGCAGGGAAGTCCAGACAGCTCTAACAGTGCACGTGGAGAAGCAAGTACCGCACAGAGCCGCCAGGAGAGACCCCTGCCCCCTGGCCCGTGGGGAACGGTGAAGGCGGCCTCATGGGCTTGCCGGAGGGGGTCGGAGGCTTGACTGAGCCTTCAAGAAAAGGGATTTGACTAGGGAGAGAGAGCAGAAAGGGCAGACCCAAGGACGCTCCATCCGCTCGAATCTGAGAAGGGACGGGGTGCTTGGTCTGCGCCCTGGACGCTTACCTCCCTATGACTGAGTTTTTGAAAAAGTTTCAAGTTAAAGCATTTTTAAACTGTAAATAGTTTTAGAAGGGTATTGATTGAAAAGCTGGTCTCCCTCCTACCTCGACTCTTGGTCCACAGTTCCTTTCTCAGATCCCATAGTACCTCTTTATTATCATTCCAGACATTTCTAAGAATACAAAAGCTCATAATTTAACACAAACGGCAACGTATTACGCATAATGTTCTGTGTCTTTTTTTCTAGGGGGAGGTATGAACACAGTCCTGCACTACCACAAATTTTGCAGTCAGGTGTCCCATATTTGGGGACATTGCAGGGGTCAGCACATCCAGAGTGCAATGAATGAGCCCCCACCTAGGAAAACCACCTTCGTGACACGCTACCTCCTCTACCAGGGAAGTATGTCTTTTTTAATTAGAAATGTGTAGGTGGCTTCTCTATTTCAGTCCACATAGAGTTACCTTAATATTTTTGATGGCTTTATCGTATTCCATTGAATGCGTATGACAAATTAATTAATCAGATCTTTGTTGATGGACATTTAGGTTATTTTCAATTTTTCGCTATTATATTTGTGTTTAAGTAATATTCTTCAATATATGTCATTTTACAATTGTGCATCTATAGGAATAGCTGGGCCAAGGGGCGTGTACATTTTAAACTCGAGGGATGGTGCCAAGAGCCCTCCACAGAGGCACCACTATATGAGAGCACCTGCTCCATGCTCACTACTGTGTCAAACTTGCTTCACGTACTGAACTTCCACGTGTTTAAAAGGCATTTATTTGCATTTCCTTTTTTGTGAAATGCTTAAATCCTTTGTCTATTTTTTCTATGAAATTGTTGGTCCTTTTCTTATTGATTTGTAGGAACTCTTTATTAAGGTAAACTCCTGTTTATGATGGTGCAAATACTTTTCTAATCTGTCATTTGTGCCTGTGCCTTCTCACAGTGTTTTTTGCCAAGAAGGAATGTTTGGTTTTCACATGTCTGCGCTTATCAATTTTTTCTTTTATGACTTCTGAGTTTGAGACATACTTAGATCTTGCACACTTCAAGATTGTAAAAATATACCCCCATATTTTCTTCTGGTACTTGTGCACCTTCCATTGCACAGTCATGCGTCACTTAGTGAAGCAGATACCTTCTGAGAAATGCATCGTTAGGCGATTTCCTTGTTGTGCGAACATCACAGAGCGCACTTACACAAACCTAGATGGTGCAGCCTACTACACACCTAGGCTATATGGTACCAATCTTATGGGACCACCTTTGTATATGAGGTCCGTCATCGAGCAAAATGTTGTTATGCGGCTCATGACTAGTTTTGTTGGTTCTTTTTTGCAGGGAAAGATTTGCCCTGAGCTAACATCTATTGCCAGTCTTCCTCTTTTTTTTCCCCCTTCCCAAAGCCCCAGTGCATGGTTGTACACCCTGGTTGTAAGTCCTTCTAGTTCCGCTGTGTGAGCCGCCACCACAGCATGGCCACTGACAGAGGGTGGTGTGGTTCCGTGCCCAGGAACCGAAACCGGGCCGTCAAAGTGGAGTGCACCAAACTGAAACCGCTGGGCTGGCTCTCTTGACTGTGTTTTTAAAAATTTGATTGATGATCCAGAACAAATTTTGATTTTACACATGACTTTGCTTTTTTCATGTAACAATGTAGCTTGGATCTCATTCTTAGAAGCATATGAAAGTTATCTCATTCTTTTTACTGTGTGAATAGTTATTGCATCATATGGATTTACTGTAATCTATTACCTAGTTCCCCAAATTATAGATAGGTTACTTCCATATAAGGTGCCATGATAAACAATAATGTAATGAGTAACCCCCCAAAGACTTCTAGAAGGTAATTCAGTTTGACGCTTCTGAAATTATCATGTGCCGGGGTCCAGCCCCAGCATGAACAGGGTCTCCTGAGGGATGGACGGCGTCGGCGAGGGAGGAGGCAGTGAGACAAGGAGTTTGGTGTCCAAGTCTAACTTTATTTTGTGTATGCATGATTTATATAGGGCTCAGGGTATGCAAGGATGATTTCATGAAACAGTCCCAGTACATATTTTTGGCTCGCGTAAGTGGGTTTTTGCAAGGTAGACAATAGTCCTAAGAGCAATTGATTGTGTGTAGGCCCGGGGGGAGTCAAGCTTCTGTAATTCTTTACTTCAAGGAGGCCACTCCCAGCGGCCTCCTGACGCAATGGGCCGTGGCAACCACCATCCTCCCAGAGAGATCTGTGGGGGCTACAGATTTCTTTGTTCCCTCTCCACTCCCATCGCTTCACCCAACCAAAGGACGGGTCAGAATGTTCTTTCCCTAGAAGACGTTTTTCCCCGGAACTTTCCCTAGAATATTGCATTGTATCATTCTCATTCTCAGGGCCGGGCTGACTTCCCCTGAAATAACCCCAGGTGTAGAACAGAGTGAGCAGAAGCAGAAAAGTCAGAAGTACCAGGGAGACTTGTAGCAGGGGCAGCCTGGTAGAATCCCTTGAGGGTCGTCTTGCGTCCCCTCGTCTCTCTCCCGGCCTGTGTCACAAGGCAGAGGCTTAACTTGTAGGCTGACGGCTCCCAGCAATCATGTGCTGAAAATCACATGGGATCTTATTAAGATGCAGATTCCGATTCAGTAGGTCTGGGTGGGGCCTGAGAGCCCGCATTTCTAATAATTTCCCAGATTACGTGATGATTCTGGTCTGTGGACCACATTGTGAGTAGCAATACTTCTTGTCTAATTCTTGAGTTCTCTTCTACGCATCCCTTCCGCTGGGGAGGAAGTAGCGCTCATGAGCCAGTGCATTCCATCCTTGAATGGCTCCAGTTCAGGTTCTTCATATTAAGTCAAATCTGTATTTCTTGGCCTTAATTTTATGTCCTGGATCCAGATGGATCAAAGATGAACACTCACTCTCATGCCAGCCCTTCAAATTTTTGCTAGCCAAGTTTCTTTCGTGCGTTTTTTTCTTCAGGCCGACCTTCTCCTCTCACCGCCTCCCATATGGCAGGGTTGTGGGGGGCCAGGGTGGGGCGGAGTCATGCGGAAGCGTGCTGCCCCTCCCCAGCCTCCTCCTCTTGAACTCCAGTCTCTGTTGTAAGTTCTTCCCTGTCTGCTTGCCCAGGTACGGTCACTAAGTCTTCTCAGTGCTAAAGGTCAAAGCCATGTCTTGCATCTCCCACCCTCTGAAGAGGACTCTCAGACTGACAGCGGCGAGAGTGGCAGGTTGGGGTGGGGACCAGCCTGCAGAACTGGAGGAAGGAGGAGAGTGGGCCCAGGGGCGTGCTGGTAAATGCTCAACAATTGGCTCTCCAAAAGCGGCAGCAGCTGCTCCCCTGACTTGTAGCGTCTGCTGATTTCCACGGTGTAAATTCTCCTGCCGCGACCGATTTCCAGCCAGCGATGTGATGTCACCGTGTGCGGTGGCACAGCCTTATATAGGATTTCCACTGTGCAGACAGAAGAAACGTAAGTAACCGCAAGGACATAGATAACAGATTGTAGCATAACAGAAAGTGATGAGTTTTTAGTGTGTATCACCTTTGTTTAATGTAATTTATTTAATTGTAAGGTTTTAACGAGGGCTATGTTTAACCACTGGCTTGCAAATGTTTTGACAATTTCACCCCGGCTCTGGTGAGCCTGTGGGAGCCAGCTCCAGCCAACCCTGGTGGGCGCCCATCTGGAAGTCCAGCCTCTCCTCCTCCTGCGCCCCGGGAAGAGAGCCGGCAAGCCCGCCCCTGCTGCAGGCCCCGCTGCGCGCCGCCTTTGAGAGCCGGTTCGTCTCGCTCCCGCCTCGGTGCCGTGCTGCCCCCGCGCGGCGGCGCTTGCCCTGCGGCGGCCCGGGAGCTGCACCCCCGCAGCTGCACCCCCGCAGCTGCACCCCCGCAGCTGCACCCCCGCAGCTGCACCCCCGCAGCCCGCCGGCTCTGCCCCAGGAGCCGCCTTCCCGGCGCGCGGACGGTCGGCCCCAGCCCTCCCGCCTCTGGAGCCCAGGGCCAGGTCACGCCGGCCCGGCCCTCCCGCCCTGCTGCTTCCTCTCGCTCCCGGATTCGGGGGTTGCCCCTGAGCCTGCAGTTCCCGCGGGGCGGCGATGAGCAGGGCTGACGGGTCTTTGCCTGGCACCGTGGCCGCACCGCGTGCCTCGGCCGGTCAGCAGCTTCAGCGTCTGCACCTGCGTTGTCAGCCTCGTCCTGGGCACCCCTGAGAGGGAGCTGCTCGGGGAGAAATTCTGACTCAAGCGCTTAGTCTGCTGCTTTTGCTTGGGGCCCCAGAGGAAGCTCTTGCCAGTCATCTGGGTTAGAGCCGGGGCTTCCTGTCGTCTGAGAGCGGCTGGGAAGAGGAGGGAAAGAGAAAAGACCAGCACAGCACCGAGGCTTCCCCCACGTCCCGGGGTCTTCTCACCGGAATAGTCCCGATCAGACCTGAAAGCTCCAGGCCAGTGGACTCTAGGATCTCCTGAGACAGTGGGCTTCACACCATATTGCCCAAGATCCTCAGTAAGAAACACCTGTTACAACGTAACCACCCAGAACAGCTCGTAGGGAGGGTAGCGATACCTGCCTTTACTAGGCTCAATGCATTTTGATATTTCCATAAATCTCTATCCTGTCCTTTCTATCAAAAAACCACAAAATCCTCGACACAGCTTAATAATAGAATTCACAGCTCAGTAATGGGTCTCCGCCCGCATTTTGCAAAGTGCTGGCCTGGGCCAACCTCTCGTTTCACTGAGAAGAAACAGAGGGCAAAGAACAAACTTGCCCAAAAGCAAATCAAGGGCAGCCCCGGACTCAGAATTCAGTCCCTGAGCTCTTCTGCCCTCACTCCAGGGCCTCCGTCCCAGGGCTCCCTCTGCACTGAGGCCCAGAAGCCTCACTCTCTGTGGCCCTGATCCATTTAGGACAGGTTATCGGGCTCTGACCGCAGGCTCCTTCATGCCCTGAAAGTCAGGGGTTGTCAGCTGCTCTCTCTCAGGTCCTCCCGTAGAGAACTTCTCCTGTCCCAGCACAAGGCGGCAGCAGAGAGAAGCAAACGGCCTTGCTTGTCGGAGGGAAAGGGCGCAGTGGGCTCCCGGCAGGCGCTTTCACCTCAAAGGCAGACGCTGGGAGGCAGTATTTTGCCAAGAGCTTTGGAACTTACCTGCAAAGGTTCAAGGGCGTAGGGGGTACGCTCTCGGCCGACAGTGCCTGAAGCAGCGCTGCTGAGTGAGCGTAGATGGGAATACGAACCTGAACAACCTTCCTAGAAAGTGCTCTGTCGTTATGTTTCAAAATATTTAAATGTGCAAACTCACTGATCCAGAAATTCCGCTTGTTGTCCAGTCCATCCCGCCTCTTAGCACCCTGTGAGCAGCAGAGCAGAACCCTGGCCGGTCTTTCTGCGCCATCCTCTCACCTTCTGGCGCTC